TTATTCTTCGTATGTATATTTATAATAGACAATTATAAATGCACTTCGTATATTTATTTTTATTTAAATTATAAATTGCTAAACATTTGGAGGACAATTTGAGAAAACTGAACAACCGGGGAAATTATATTCTCAAGTTGGTGTACACGCGCAAAACATAAGAATCCTAAGGTGTACAGTTTGGTTCCAAAAGGGAAGAGAAATTAAGTGTGTAATTCATTTATTTTTTCAGTTCGATAGGCTACAACAAAGTTTTCAAGATATTACTCTAAGCAAAGGTACATACGGTTTCCTTCTTACACATTTTGAATGAATTATAGTTGAATTCAAATTCCTAATTATTATTCTAGGAAAAAGAATGAAAAAAACTCCTAAATATTAGGAAAATAATTAAATATTTAGTCTTGAATATTAGGAAAACAGTTAAATTACACTTTTATCTAATGTGAAGCCTATTTTAATGGGTAAAAAAGGCAAACGACATTTCACTAAGGGGTTTCGTATTTTTAATATAGTATAAATAGATATAGATAGATAGATATAGATTAGTCTTAGGTTACGCGCTTTGCGCGTGTTTCCCTTGTCTATAAGTAAATAACTTTTTAAAAAAACATAAGTAGTATTAAATAATGTCTTTGAGTTATACTAAAGCGTTTTCTAATTATTGATAAATACTACTCATTTAGAATAGATGATGTTTGCAAGTCGAAATAATTATTAAATGTAGTTTCGAATATTATACAAAAGTTTATTAAATAAATTAAAAAAATTAACATAAAAGGTATTACAGTTATGGTACACACTTCAAATAAGTAAATAATTTACTTTAGGTAAAACGTGATTGATAAATTTTAAAAATTAGGATTTCACACATAATTCAAACTTGGGTTTTATATTTTTCATAGTACTCACGATTTTAAAATAGTTAGAATGGGTTAATGTTATAGGTAGAAAAAAACATAAACTATACTTAATCACATAAGTATATTTTCAAATAAATAATTATATAAATTGATGTATATAATAGTTTAAATAAGTTTGTGGAAAAGTATACTAAATTGAATGGAGCTTTAAAATGCTTCTTATAAATATACACTGCTAATTTTTATGTACGTAGATCATAAGGAAAAAAGTTTATAGAGAAATTATTTGAATTGTATAAGGTAAATTTAATTGATTTTGATGTCCTAAATATTAAGATTTACTGTGTAGTCCTTCAAATAAAGAAAACTTTAATAACTAAAGTATTAGTTAACTTCAAATTACTAAATATGAAGAAATAATTAAATGACTATTTTGTCTAGTATGAACTCTATTTGAAAAGGGTAAAAAAGACGATCGACATGCGTGCACTACTTAAGTTTATAGAATAAAAACTTATAATTACCTTAAATTTCTTATAAGAAATATGATAATTTATTACTATTTATTTCGATATATAAATTTTAGTATCTTGACTATGTTTCACCTATCAAATTCGGTTTGTGCTTTAATATGTATATGTTTACAACAAAAATTAAAAAACATTATATTATTTATTATAATTGTAAATTATAGTTTAAAATATAGTCATGTCAATTGTAAACTTATCTACAGATATTTGTTTTACTCATAAATAATTATAGATATTTGTAAAAAAAAAATACTTTTGTAAACTTAGTGGCAGATATATACTAACTTCAGTATTTTTAGATTTAAAATTACAACATAATTTTAATTAGTACATTTCAAATGTACGTGTACACTTTAAGTTGTAAGGATAATTTTAGCCTTTAATTTTTTGAGGATATTTGTTGGAAGGTGGATTGTAAATACCCTTTGAAATATTCACATTAAAAGAGTACTAATAGATCACATTAGAAGAAAACTTAGAAGGAGTTCTATGTTCACGAGACTTTATTTGTAGTTTTCTATTTGTTCCCGTCGATTAATTTTTTTTTACTAAAATAATAAAATTATAAAATATAATTGGTTATACGTCACTACAAAGAATAACCTAAAAAGAGTTATAAGTAGGCGAAACTTCAATTCCTGTTTTAATTCTTCCGGCTGTTACTTTCCTTCTACAAATATGTTGTCTTACTTATTTTAAGTAAGGAAGGATTCAATACATAATTTTTAGTTGATTTCTAAGTACTAAATATCAGGAAAATAATTAAATGATAATTCTTAAATAATAGAGAATAGTCAAATTACTATTTTGTCTAGTGTGAAATCTATTTTTAAAGGGTAAAAAAGACGAACGACATTTCGCTAAGGTCATTCGTGCTTTTAATATAGTATAGATATAGATACATAGATAGATATAGATATGTCATAACTATCCCTATTTGGAAAACCAATAAGGCAAAGCTAAAATACGATATTATACTACGACAATAAACATCGTGCGCGCCAGGGGTGGATCTAGAGAGTTGAGTGCGGGTTCGGCCGAACCCAGTAACTATGGTTCGAACCATGTATTTGTTTTAAAAAATATATTAAATATGTATAAATTATTATTTTAAAATCCAGTAACTTAAAAAAATTAAAATCCCAAACCCACAAGCTTGAAATTTTGGCTCCGCCTCTAAGGCGCGCAGGAGGAGGTTACGAAACAGTCGCAAAGAAATATAACTTGGCCCTTAATTGGGTTTCTAAAATACATTGAGTTTCTATCGATCGTAAAGGTAAAAAACAACTAGACAATCAGATTCAAGAATTGCAGTAGTTACTTTATTCCTTTAACAGTTGTTCCTTCTTAATTCTATCCAAGGGTCAACGAGTACTACGCAGCCTATATAGGCAACCAACCTAATTAATTCAGTTTGTTGGGATGTTGGGACCATTCCAACTTCCAAGTATATAAACCTAGTATTTTACTACTCCCTCCGGTTCACAATAAATGTCCAATTTACTTTTTCATTTTGGTTCAAAATAAGTGTCCAGTTATGTAATCAAGAAAGAATTCAATTTGTTTTTACAAAATAACCCCTATGTACATATCCCTAAAAAGTTTTCTTACTCCTCACATTAAATGTTTAATTAGGGGTAGTTTAGTCATAGTAGGTATTTTTGTATAGAATTTAGTATTTTCTTAATGGGCGTGCTAAAAGTAAATTGAACACTTATTGTGAACCGAAGGGATTAGAAAACAAGTACTGTATATAATAATTGGACCGTGGGATATTGGGATCGAGCAACTTGAAGTTTCTATAAAGTAAAAAATTTCTCTCTGTATTTGATGTTTGGCTTAAAGTATGCATATTTTTACATATTTTGCCTCATATTGTGCTCATGTCTTGTAGATTTCGGATGTATAATATAATGATTTGTGCTAATTTATGGTATTTCTATGTGTAAGAATCATTCGGATGCGATTTGGAACGAAAGCGCGCGAATTGGAGCGAAAATGGGAAGAAAATACAAAAGTGCACATTTGAGGGCCACGGGCAACGTGGGGCGCTACCTGTGGCGCTCAAAACAGAATGCTAAAAAGTTGAACGCCAGGGCCAGGGCCAGGGCCCCACGCTGCCCTGGACGCTCAAAACGTGAACATGTCCTATTTCGATCGGGACTCGGTTATTTCGATCCCAAGATGTCCCCAACTCTTATAAAAGCCAACCTAAACCTATTTTGAGGGGAAGACGTTTTTTAGAGGAAAACACAAGCACAAAGCCGTCGTGGAGGCCGGGTTTCATCTTTTCTTCCACCAAACTTAGTTTTTTTTATGTTTCTTTGTATGATTCGTTGTTTTGCTATCATGTCTATGTGGAGCTAAACTTCACGTTCTAGTGTTTCTAGTTCTTTCATGACTATTGTTATTCGAATATTGATTTTGATTTCTTAATTGATCATATTGGTTTATTTATTCAATTCTGCGCTTAATTATTTGATTGCTTGATCACAATTGAATACTATCTATGAATCTAGAATTGAACTCGAACGTTGGAATTCTAGATTGCATATAGGATTGAGTAGAGCAAGTTCTTGAACCTGGGCATCGGGGAACAGATTCGCGGTTAGGATAGACATATAGACGTTATGTTAGCTTGAATAGGCGAGTAAGAACTCGACAGATTGTTATGAGCAATATTAATCATGTCAACCAATAAACCAGATAAATTAGTTAGTCAATTTAATTGAAGAATACAATAGGAATGTTAGATAGCCCATGACCCGAGATCGTTTTCGTTACATTGATATCATAAAAATTTGTTTTTTCCCTTGTTCAGAGTTCACCATCTATTTTCCTTTATTTGATTAGTTTAGAATTGAATATTTCTAGGTTTAATTCTTGTTTAGATAATTAGGATAGTCTAATTTAGTTAATAGTCAATCACAAGTCCTCGTGGGTTCGATATCCGACTTTTAGTCACTTTATTACTTGACAACCGTGTATACTTGCGTGTGCATTTGGCTGCAACAATATTCGTGATATGTAAATATTATTGACCAAAAGTCATTAGGTGAGACGACGACCGAGTTCATATCCAGCTGAATATTACTGATTTTTCATTCTATTTTTATTCCAATATCATGCAATTGTCTTCCGTTCCAGCAAATTAATTAACAACTTAATAATTTAGAAGCTTAATTAATTAATTAAGAAGACTTGGGGAGTTGATTTAGTTTTTTAGTATCGTCGAGGATTGAGGTAGTCATGTAATTAGGCTACTAGATTATGATATAGGATAACCAAAACAATTGTAAGTAGTACGGAGTATATAATAGAGAAGTTTTATTTTGTGTCTCATGCAATTTATACTAGTTATATGAGGCTCATTTTTGTCTCACAAATTTGTGAGATAAAAAGGTTGCCTCATACAACTAGTATCACTCTCATACAATTAGTGTCAGTTGTATGAGACACAAAATAAAATTTTCCTAATATAATATGAATTGAACACGGTATTTGTCTTTGTCAAAGAAGAATGAGATGACAATATGGCAATCATCACCCTAAATAGACCGATTTAGGCTCTTTATATATAATGTCCCTTCATTATCATTTTGAAATTAAGCTCCGATATATCCATTTAATATATTCACAAGAACATGAAGGTAATTAAGTCTTTAAGCTTGTACTATTCTTGAATATTTGTCTTTCTTTTCTTCTCTGTGTTGAGTTAGCTAGGTCTAAATTATAAAATAAATAGTAATTAATTAATGTCATACAGAAAAAGATTGTGATTGATCTCCCTCTCAACACCGAGAACTGTAGATCAAAGGCCATGCAGATAGCTGTAAGAAGTGCAGGTATTTATGCATATTTACTCTTTTGCTTAACTTGTTGGTGGTATAAATAATTGTTCCTTCTCAATTATCTCAACTTTTAACTTCATATTAAATTTTTTTTTCTTCCAAAAAGCCACTCGATCAATTGGAACAAAAGATGGAATTAATGGATTGTATATTTGCAGGGGTAATATCAGTGAACGTAGACAAGGAAAAAGGGCATCTGGTGGTGATTGGAGTAGGGGTTAATTTTTTCAGGCTGATGAAGTGCATAAGGAAGAAATTCAGTTGTTCAAGCATTGTGAGCTTGGAAGACGTGAAACAGGAAAAGCCAGCTACTCCCAAAAAACCAATTTGCTCAAGTCCAAAATGCCCACCAATATGTGGTCAGTACTATCCGGTATGCCAACCCGTTTATGATACTTATAATCCAACTTGCACCATTATGTGAAACCGAGCACCACTAATTAATATTCAACCACTGCCTATTCATCTCCATGCTTTTCTACTACCGTATTTCTTTTTCAAATCTCCGCCTTCACAAAACAGGAGTAAGGTCTGCATAAATACTATCCTCCTTTATCGGAAAACTTATATATTTTCACTTCTATCGTCTCTGGAGTCAATGTTAGTTGACAAAATTAAAGGAAGTAAGTTGACCAATACAATATATATA